CAGGGCCAACTAATGCGGCAGTCTATTCAAAAATGCTGATCGATTTTTTCACTTGACGCTTTGACAATGGAGAGCAGCCCCAGCTCTTCGAAACGTCAGCCAGAAAAGTCCCCCGATCCGGTGAGCAATTCATTCTCCTCAGTATTTAAAATTGTCTACTTCATCAAGCTGACAGCCATCAATCCCCAGGGGTGCCTTCTCCTGGTCAGGAATGCAGCTTGAGAATACTTTGGTCTTCCCAGCGTTTATGGACAAACCGACTGATTTAGTGACCTCGTTCATCCGTGACACCGTAGACTGCAGATCACCAAAACTTGAAGCAAGTAAGGCGATATCATCGGCATAGTCGAGATCAGTCAGTCGATGTCCGGGTGCAAATTCAACGCCGTCACTGTCGCGTAGGGCGTTACCGAGGATCCAGTCAATAGCGTAGTTGAACAGTATGGGTGACAGGATACAACCCTGGCGGACGCCAGACCGAATACCGAACGGTTGGGAAAGATTGTTACGGACCAGGACTCTCGCAGTAATGGAACGATAGTAGGCCTTGATCATGGCGATGATTTTTGCCGGTACACCATCTAGCGCCATTATCCGCCACAGGGACTCACGGTGAACGGAATCGAACGCGGCGGCAAAGACAACGAAGCAGACGGCCGTCGGTTGTTGGTAGCTATGACGAAATTCGAGAATGCGCCTCAGTGTGAATATCTGATCTGCGCATCCACGTCCAGCACGAAATCCGGCTTGGTTGGGCCTCGTCTTTGAGTCACGCACAACCTGGAATCGCCTGAGTAGGACAACAGCGAACATCTTCGCAGCAACGTCGATGAGACTTATGCCGCGGTAGTTCTCGCATCTCGTCTTATCTCCCTTCTTGAGGATAGGTGCAAGGATGCCTAGGCCCCAGTCATCAGGAACAACCTCGTCTCTCCAGGCTCGTTCAATCACCTTATGGAGCCAAGGCGCCAGAGTGTCGACACAAGACTTGAAGATTTCAGCGGGTAAACCGTCCTCTCCGGGTGCCTTATTGTTGCGCAACTTTCGTATGGCATCGGCGACTTCTCCTTCAGAGGGGGGGGGGGTCGCATGGCACTGCATAGGTAGGAGAGGGAAGAAACTCCGCTGAGGACGAGAGCAAGGGCGATGTAGGTTGGGTATCGAAGTTGAGATGGTGCTCAAAGTGCTCACGCCAGCGCTCGACTTTGGCCGAGTTGTCAGCAATAAAGCCGCCGTTCACATCGCGAACAGAGTCACTCAGTGTAGAGGGCTTACCGCTAACTTGGCGGATCAGACGGTAGAGCTTTCGAGTGTGACAAACGTTCGAAGCCTGTTCCATGGATGTCGCTATTTCAGCCCAATATTGCTTCCGGTTATCCCTGGCCGATTTTGCCGTCATCTTCCGAAGTTGGCGGAAGTAGTCATCGTTGCGGGACCTGGCTCTAGCCGTCTGAGCAGACAACTGCAGGGTCCTTCCGCTGATCCAGTCACTGCGGCGTCGTTGGGTGTATCCAAGGATTTTCTCAGCTGTCCCATAGACTGATGTCTTCAGTGACGACCACTGGTTCCTGACTTCTCCGTTTGCTCGGGTCGTAAAACAGGTCCGGATTTCTCTGCTT